CTCGTATTCCTTGAGACATGCTACTGGGCAGAGCTTGGAGTTATTTGGAAAGGCCGGGTAGAAAACTGAGGTGATTGACGTCTTCGTACGCCTGGAAATATTAAACGAGACACCTTCGGGGGTGAATGAACGTGCAGAGAAGTCCAACGCACGCACATCCGACACCCGCTTACAGGAGATCAAAGAAAACAGCATCGCCAGCTTTGCTGTGAGTTGTTTCAGTGAGAGATCTTCGTTCCTTGGCCAATTTGCTAGAAACTGGAGGACAAGGTCAACATCCCATGATGAAGAGTATCTAGGTAGTGGTGGGCGTGCAAATCTAATGCCGCGCAGGAGTCGGCATACGAGGAGATGTTTACCAGCCGGGGCACCATCCCACCCTTGGTGGCCTGCGGAAATAGCCGATCGGTACACATTTATCGTGCGATAGGCTAGGCCATGGTCAAACAGAGAAGTGAGAAATCTCAAAACTTGACTTATAGGTGCCGATAAGGGATCCATGTGTTGTTCCATGCACCAACCACTCCATGAATTCCAGGCATGTAAGTAGGATTTCCGTGTTCCAGGAGCCCAAGCTCCCGCCAGAAGGTCAATAGTTGTTTGTGGAACGTCCGGGATGAATCCAAGTCCCCGGAGAGGAGCCATGCCAGTAGTTGGAGGCGTCCTTGTAATAGTAGGGGGTGTGGTTCCCCGTTGGGGTTCAACAAGAGGTCCGGAGAGGTTGGAATCAATCTTGGGTAGTCCATGGACAACTCCATGAGTGTAGGGAACCACGGTTGAGCCGTCCAGAATGGGGCGATGAGAATCATGGAGGTTCGGTAGCGCCTGAGATGTAGAAGCGTCCTCGCAATCAATGAGAAAGGAGGAAAAGCGTACGCTCGTGTGTTCGGCCACTGATGGAGGAAGGCATCTGAAGCCAATGCCTCTGGATCCGGTCTCCAACTGAAGAAACTCGGTAGTTGGGAGTTCAACCGTGAAGCGAAGAGGTCGATCCCTAGTGGGCCCCAGAGTGTTTGAAGTTGCAGGAAAATGGCCCGCTTCAGCCGCCAGTCGCTTGCATCCCGTAGGTATCTGGAATTCCAATCCGCCACCATATTGGACATCCCGGGAATGTGTTCCGCCTGAACCGAAATATTGCGATCCAGGCAGAAGTGCCAGAAGTCTTTTGCTAGATCCGCTAACACCACTGACTTCGTACCCCCGAGATGATTGATGTAGCGGACCGCTGACACGTTGTCCATCCGTAAAAGAATGGAACAGTTGGTTGAGATACCTACGAGACTCCGAACTGCAAATGACCCCGCCAAAAGCTCGAGGCAATTGATGTGTAACTCTTGTTCGTCTGGGGACCATTTCCCTCCGGTGGAGATAGGACCGCAACGCGCGCCCCAGCCCAGCAGACTTGCGTCCGATTCCACGACGAAGTCCGGCCTCGTCCCAAAGATTGCTCTTCCGTTCCATGCTTCCATGTGTTGCAGCCACCAATAGAGTTCTTCTTTGGCAGCACAATCGAGAGGCACAGAGTCTGAATAGGAGAGACCTGACCGAAGGTATTTCGCCTTTAGGCGTTGAAGGGCCCTGTAGTGAAGTGGGCCCGGGAAAATGGCCTGGATGGAGGCTGAGAGAAGGCCGATGATCCTGGCCAGTTGCCGTAGCGTTAGTGCAGGGCGAGCCAGTGTCCGGCGGATTTCTTTCTTGATGATCCTGACTTTGGACGATGGTAACAGGAGTGTCCCTTCCACTGAATCGATGGTGAAGCCTAGAAACTCCAAGACTTGGGAGGGTTGTACCACCGACTTGCCCCAGTTGATGAGGAAACCAAGGTTGCCGAGTAATGTCTTTGTCCAAATCAGATGTTCTTGGAGTAAGCGTGGGTCTTGTGCCATCAGCAGCATGTCGTCCAAGTATATAATCAGACGTACTCCTCTGCTGCGTAGGAGAGCGATCACTGGCCGCATGAGCTTCGTGAAGCACCATGGGGCCGAGGAGAGGCCGAAGGGCAAGCATTTGAAACGCCATGTGGTCTCCTCCCATTGCAACTGGAGGAAATGTTGGCAATCCTCGGCCATTGGGACGGTGAGGTATGCGTCCTGCAGATCGAGTTTGACCATCCAATCCTCCAAGAGGAGTAGGTCCCGGAGGGAGTGGATGCCCTCCATTTTGAAATGGTGGTACGCAACAAAGGCGTTCAGGGGACGTAAGTTGATGACCGGACGGACACCCCCGCCTTTCTTGGGCACCACGAACAGGTTGCTTATAAAACCTGAAACCTCTGGATGCGTCTCTATGATTGCACCTTTGTCGGCCAGGGATTGTATCTCCGTTGTGATTAGTGCCCTGTCGTGGATGGAGGAGACTATGTGTCTGGGGGGGGATATCTGGACAGGTGTTTGTACAAATTCTATGGCATAACCCACTACAGTTTGTAGGACCCAAGTATCGGAAGTTAACATTCGCCAGGCATTGATAAAGTGGCCTAACCTGCCCCCCACCAACGTTACTGAAGTTAGTGATGAAGGAAGTAGACTCACCATAAGGGCGTCGGCCATAGGAAACGCTTCTGGATCCACGAGCCTGCCAGGGTCTTCCTCGAACTGGGAAGAATGGAGAGGGCTTGGGTACCTCACTCTGGTAACGTGACTGGAAGGGGCCTCTAGAAACCCGGTACGAGCCCCGGGAAGAACGGCCGGGCAGACGGCCCCAATATCTGCCGGCCCCGCCAAAAACTCTATGGGAGAATACCTTTTTCATATTGGCTTGCGCCTTGTCCAGAGCAGTAAAAGTGCCCACATAGGTACCCAGCTCCTTCACAAAACTATCCCCAAAAAGAAGGCCTTTGGCCTGTGGCCCAGGTTCAGTGATAGCCAAGGCAACTAGCTTTGGTTCGATTTTAATCAATATAGCCTTTCGCCTCTCAGTGGCTAGAGCCACGTTGGCATTTCCCAGAAGACATATGGCTCGCTGTATCCAGCCCCTGATAGCTAGCGGGTCTATGGGAGCACCGCCTGCCAGTGCCGTTTCAACCATATCAAAGATCTTTGCACTGGGTCCGAGGACATCCAGGATCTTATCCTGGCAATGGCGAAGTGCAAAATCGAGACCCTTCTTCGCCTTCCACCCAGTTTTCCCCAGGAACTGGGCAATCTTAGGGTCCACTATAGGGGCGATACATATTAAATCTGGGAGCGTGGGGCGTGGGCATTCTGCCCGCATCTTACTTCTTGCCACCTTATCAAGGGGTTTCCTGATCCGTGCGGCAATATATTTTGCCACATGGTCCAGCGGGAACCATTCAGTAGATCTTGGGTGCTGCAGACTATCAGGGTCAAACAAAGGTTCGCCCTGTGGGTCAAGGAGGGTGGAGCCTTCCACCCCGTCCTCGTCCTCATTCCCAGACATAGATATAGCGCTGTGGTCGGGGAATAGTGTGCCCAAATTGAATGAGTCCTCATCATCAGACTCGCTCCATGCCTCCTCCTGTTCCGAATCTGACTCGGATGATTCCACTTGGGCTTTTGCCCTTTTCCAACTCCGCACCGATTTTGCCCGGTGGGTGGCTCTTTGTTGTGGTGCAACCACATTATCTTTGACAGGACGTTCCCTGTCTGTCCTTAAAGTTTTGGAGGCTTCCTCGTCCATGTGACGAGCTTTTTTGGTGGCTTTGCGCCCACTGGCCTTGCCTGTAATGTGTTCTGCAGGGTTAGGGGCAATGTGCGTAGAGGCCTGTTGGGCGGCCAAGAGGGCATGGCTAATAGAGTGGGACAGAGTGTCCGACATAGCTCCCATGGCTGAGTAAACAGCCTGGGTAACGGATTTTGTCATAGTGGCATCCAGGAGAGAATGAAGTTCTTCCGAGTTCATTTGCTCCTGGTCTGCCACATAAGTGACAGTTGAGCCAGTCGGTCTGGGGACAACCTGGGGGGCAGGGGGCATATTATCCCTAATGGGGGAATCGCTGGAGGCCATGCCCAAACTCTTACTAGTCTGCATTACGAAATAACCCCTCTGCAGTAGTTGTGGTTAGGACAAGAATATATTATTTATAAGTAAAACAAGAAAAAAGGGGTGAGTGGGGAACCCAAATAAACTAATGGAGTGACTTCCCTGATTTTTTGCAAAAAAAACTGGGTATTAGCAATGTATCAGTAGGACTGATACAGAAATACCCAAGGCACCATAAATTCACAGACAGAATATGAAAAAGGCAAGCTCACCAAGTGTTCCCTCAGGAATGGCTCCTGGGGACACTGGTGAGCTGCCCAGCAACTGTGCTGTCCAATCAGGACGCACTCCCGCCCCCACAGGCACTAAAAAGCCCGGGAACGAAAAAAACCGCGGCAAACTGCCAACCGCAAGATGGCCGCCGCGATGCGCACTAGCGATGTGTGCATGCGCGAAACGGCGCCAGCCGCGATTACAGCCGCGAACCGGAGGGGGGGGAGGGAGGCCCCCGAGAACAGATCTCAGAGGCGCAAGAAAGACAGACTGGGCGGCAAGAGCCTCCACACGGAGAGCTGCTAGCCGCCCTGACTCAGTAGGTGATAATCCACCTGAAGTGAGTCAGAGATGGGAGGGGAGGGAGGGGTTGGCTCTAGGTGAGGGAAAAAACCTAGAGCCAGTTGGGAAATTAAGTGGAGAGATAGGGCAGAAGCCCAACAGTACACAGAAAACAAACAAATTTAAATAAAACTGCCACAAAATGAATAAATATGAGAAAACACAGGCAGCATACAGAGAGAAAAATAAAAATGTACTTAGCTGAGGAAGGCAGCAGCAAGAAAGAGGAGTGGCTTAAGGTCACATGGGGAGTTGAGAGTGCTGAAGGCATGCTGATTGGTTGTATTATTGTAGGACTAGCCCTTTGGGGCATGTTTACATGGTTGATTGTTTCTCTAAAATAAAGTTTTTCTTGCTGCTGAGGAATAAAAGAAAGAGAATAGCATAATATGAGCCTCCGTGTCCTTAAATAAAATTACATATTCACAATCAATCCATTCAGGGGAACAACATATTAAAAAATGGCATAAATCAGACAAGGGGTTCAAAAGTTAGTAAAAAGTCCTTTGTGACTAAATGAAGCATGGCTTTCTGGCCCAAACCAGTTTCAGAGTCTTCTATCCTGGAGAGTAATTCAATTATCTCCCAGGACAGACACAAGACTCCATTAAGCACATGGTTGCAAAAAGACACAAAGACAGTAAAACACTTTAAAATACATAAAGTTACATTTATGACCTAAAATACAGACATGCAACATATGCCCAGATAGCTTAGGTCTAAGCGCACATTATTACTGAATGGCGCTCAGAGCACACACACACAGTTCAATTGCCATGGAGCCAAAGTCTTTCCCATAGTCTTTCATTATACGAATGGGCTCCATGGCATAGCTATCTGGGGTATCACTTCTCAAACAGGGCAAGCACCAAATGACCCGGATTTCTTGTCTTTGCAGGGGAAAATAAAGTCTTTTAACATGGGGCCATAGTCCAAAGGCAGCAGGCGAGCAACCAGGCTTCTCCAATGCAATGTGGCGAGATTGGTCTCGTCACAATCACCAAAAATGGTCTCATGGTCTCATGTGTGCAATACATTTTATCTAGTGCACAACATATTTATAAACTTTCTAAAAGAAAAAAAACCTCAAATAAAAACATTAATGGACATTTAATTATTGGCAGGTGTAGAGGCTTCATTTAATTTTAAAATACAATGCAGTGATATTTTTCTTGGTAATCTTTTTGCATTGCTAAGGGTTCAATTAGGGGAAATATTGAACAAGTATGGAAAAAAAAGATTAAAAACCTTAACACGTGGACACTCCAATTACTGTTGTGACAAGACGTGTTTGATGGGATCTCCTCAAGAACTGTAATGAAGTGAGGTAAGACCTGTCAATTTTTTCTTATTTATTGCATATTAACATAGTTTCCCATGGCATTTTTCCAATTATGCTTTGCTGACATGTTCCAAATAAAAAAGATTAATGATCATGAAAACCCCTTGCTTAACATATACTGTTATGTGACTATATTTATTTGCATTTTCCCTCGTATGGCTAGCAAAAAAATAAATAAAAGTTACCGTACATAAAAACCTGCAAGATTAGAGAATAAAAAAAACAAAAAAACAAAAATTTCTTCCATCACAAGCTACTTACAGCCACCGTCTTCATTAAGCAGTGGTCAAGATCCCCTTGGCACAGATACAGCAACATTAAGCAAAGATGTTGGAGAAGGAAAAACAAATTCAGAATTGGAGGAATCAGAATGTGATCATCTGGTCCCATTAGATCACGAGTGTAGCAATGAGCCAATAACAACTAGAGATATAACTGCAAGTTACTCTGGTTCAGCAACAGAGCATTTTGACATTGAAGAGGACGATATATCTAAAGTTTCCTCTAAATCAAACACTGAGTCCTTTGTACTTATCGATGAATAAACCAAAATGGAACTTGAAGACCCATCAACAACATCAAGTGGCATCTCAAGTGATCCTGCTTTCTGGCCTAACTTAATAGATGAACAGCACAGAATAACTTTGATACAAATTGGTCCTGTTTAAGAAAAAGCCTATATTTCTATACTTTTCAATATCTTACTAGTAAAGAGTACTGGATAGTGGAGGGAAAATACCAAAAAATTGGTTGGTGGATTCTGCATCTAATAATTCAGGCAAGTTCCTTGCTTGCAGGATATTCAACAGTGAAAATATGGCTTTTGCCTCAAAAATGCTTTAGTGATTAAAAAAAACTAATACAAGGTCCGCGAGAAAATCTGATAAATTAATATAAAAGCAAACTATATACAAAAATAAATACAGATAAAACAAGATGGTATCTACAGAAAATAATGAAAGGGGTACTAGATAAAAAAATGGATTTTTTTTCCAGTATACAATACTACAAGTGAAGGACTAACATCTTTTTTACAGGCCTACCTAAAGAACAATTAGATTGTGCTTGAAAATATGCATGGCCAAGGGTATAATAATGGTGCCAATATGAAAGGAAAACATAATGGCTTGCAGCAAAAAATTCTCGATATCAAACCAAGAGCCTTTTTTGTTCCATGCAGTGCACATACTCTTGGGGATGACGATGCAAACACTTTATATCTGACAGTATATTTTTTGGGGCATCATTAAAGAACTTTATGTGTTCTTTGTCTCATCCAAACAACGATGGCAAGTACTCAAGGAGCATGTTAAAAATCTAACTGTAAAACCACTCTCCATTACCAAGTGGAAAAGCAGGGTCACAGCAATTAAACCCTTGCTTTTATTGCCTACCTCAAGTATATGATGCAATGTTTGATGATGACAACAGGGACATTAACACTAAACATTAGACTTATTCCCCTGGATGTTGGGCAAAAGTAATGTCCCAGGGTTATTATTATTATTATTCCTAAGCAACTAGGAAAATAATCATTCAAATTCATCCGTTTCATCATTTTGTATGAAATATTATAAATATTATAAATGTAATCTGCAAAAAAGAAGTCACAGGCACTAAGAACTGTGGCATATATGTATGGTGGCAATGAAGGAGTTAATCTGTTTTGTCTAGGATTTGAATGTGAGGAATTTTACATCTTGTGGTAGTTGGTCAGTTAGACACGTATCCGGGGCAGAATTGATTACACAGCTGTTTCTGGGGGCTGGAGCTGGCATGGGATTGGTTGAAAGTTGCAAGCAGAAAAAGAGCGGGAAACTGGAACAGTATAAAAAGAAGCAGCATGAGTTTAATCCTGTCAGGGTGGACTGAAGCGTCCTTGTCCTTCTGTCTCCATAATTGGAGAGAAGTAATCATTGCTGATGACTTCCCCAGAGGCAGAACAGTTGCTCCATTGAGACTGACTCCATGCTGGGACAAGGAGTCTTATCAGACAATCCCTTAGTCTTCAATCTTTTAAGAAGTGCCATAAAACCCATCTCTTCAGGAAAGCTTATGGCCTCCCAGAGTAACCTCTACCTCACATACCTGTCTCTTGCTCTCTCCTAAAGGGCAGCACTCTACTCTCTCCTCCAGCTCTGCTTCACTGCCACATTATTTGATTGCTATTTCCTGTCCTAATGTGTTTTATACCCTACCTCCTATAGACTGTAAGCTCGTTTGAGCAGGGTCCTCTTCAACCTATCGTTCCTGTAAGTTTTTTGTAATTGTCCTATTTATAGTTAAATCCTCCTCTCATAATATTGTAAAGCGCTACGGAATCTGTTGGCGCTATATAAATGGCAATAATAATAAGGGAAAATAATAATAAGGCAATAATAGGGAAACTTGTAGCACAAATATAGAAATCATTACCTACCAAGTGTTAATAACAGTCAGACATGGCATATGGACGGCTGCAGTGGGCATGGAACTTTCCATCTGTCTCTAAGCCTTCTGTGGTCTCAGAACGTGTCCTCACATGCATTTGCATCAGTTGCAGCATGTTCCATCCTAGGAACTTAGATAAGCATATCTGTTTGAATTGGCAGCAGAGTATTTGCTCAACACTTGTTCAAACAAACATAAATTATTCTACATAAAATACACTGCTTTGTGTTTGCTTGGATAGAAATACAAACCTTATTGGAGCAATAAATTGTGAAAGGTAATTCAGTTTATAAAAAATGAATAGTGTGGTATGATCTCAAGATACATGTAAATTTAAAAATAAAAACATGTTCTAAACATTGACTTGTGAATACAGATTATCTAATCTATTTATCTAAATTTCAAATTCAGAGAACTTAACTGGGTTTTTTCATACCCCAACTACTAGGAACATTGAAAATTGGGTCATATGATGTAAAAGCAAAGACATTTTTTTGTTTTTGCATTCTTTCCCTGTAATGCAAGTGATCACCTTTATTCTCATGGACATATTTAAAAATACATAGATCAGATTTGTCATTGGTAAACTGTAGATGACAGTCTGCAAGCTTTATCAGACAATGCAGCCCTGAAGTAGGCTTTTTTTTTAAACAGCTTCCTTTAAAAAATAAAATATGTATTTTTTTTTGTTTGAAATTCTAAATACATTTTTAGATCGTACTTGTCTGCACAACCTCCGTATTGTGTTACTTTGCCAAAATGCAACATCGTGGTTCGATTTGTCATTCAGAATCATGAGAAGGGCTGTGTTTTTCCCCTAAAATAAATGCATTTGCTATTCTGATGAGATGATTCATAAACTGAATCCCTAGAAGTTTGCTCACATCTTCTATAATAATTTCATAAAATCACAATCTATATTTAGATGGAAATGCCTTCTACATTTGAAACAATCGGCTTAATCCTATGAATACCAGGGTATTCAATTACCATATTTACTCAAATCTAATGCACCCTGGAATCTAATGCACACCTCAATTTTTGAAACCTGGAAGCTGAAAGATGTTTTTGCTGGCAAATGTAATGCACATTTATATAAGAAGATACTACTATACAACATTGTGCTACAATAAAAAGTGTTTATTGCCATATACCTTAGTAACATTTGAGCCTCACATCCAGCATGTTGCCAAATCCTGTAGATTCCATCTTAAAAACATAGCCCGCATCCGCCCCCTTCTTATGCAAGATGCTACCAAGGAGCTTGTCCATGCTCTAGTAATTTCCCGCATGGATTACTGCTCCGCTACAGTCCATAATGAACGCTGCCGCCAGACTGATTTTCCTCTCTAGTCGGTTCTCTCACACCTCACCGCTCTGTCAGGCCTTACACTGGCTTCCTGTATGCTATAGGAGTTAATTCAAGGTACTAATTCACACCTATAAAGCACTGAGAAATTCTAGCCCCTCTTATATCTCTTCACAGATCCATAGGTATGTCCCTTCTCAGTCTCTCCACTCTTCCTGTTTATTCTGTGTGTTTGCAGACATTTAATATATCTGTCTCAGGCGCTAACCTGGCCACTTTAAGGACCATTGTACCTTTTCTGTTTCCTTTAGGTTTGCATGTTAGAGTAACTCTATTCCTGACAGGTAATTGCTTATCACCTGAGTTTTTAATAATTAGTGTTTTGTAGACCCCAGGATATCCTTGCATAAGTATGCTTACTTTATAATTAAAAAGCAACAGAGTGGGTTACCCTTAATTCCTGTCAATTTTTTTTACTTCATGTTAAACATCCCTGCTTTACATAGCAATCTAGGTTCTTCAAATTCCACCTTTAAACATCTATTTCTGTAACGTGGGTTAACAGGGTTGATGTTCCAGGAGGGATAAGCCAAATGACAAATAATTTA